AGTGTTGTCACAGATCGACTGGCTTGTTGTCCTCATATTTGAGATGAGCGATGAGGTTTCACGACACATTCGTCGTGAGTTTAAACAGAACCCGATCACTTCTTTGTTGTTGTCGAAAACAAACCCGGCATTGATTGTAAAAGGACCCGGAGAGATCTAGTGCGGCCGGCGTCATTCACCTAATTCACGGGCCTTGAAGAATTTCATGAATCCACTACAATAGTGGATTTTCAAGATTACGATAAGTATTTTGAAGCCGAATACTTCATTTGAAATGGGCCATCTTCTTGTTCTTTGGATTGTTACAGCGTGGATTGAATATGAAAGCGCACAATTTCACAGGGATAACCGATCATGAAAAATTGTGCTCTAAGAGAGGACAAGACACTGCATCTCCCGAGGCACTGGAAAGATCATGAGCTTGAACAAGTTCTGCTTCGAAAGGCCATCAATTTTCAGTCCCGGAAACATCGCTCATAGACAACTGATAAAGTGTAAACGAGGATTACAGTATGTACTTCCGGGGCATGAGTGATGCGTTGTTGGGATGCATAGAAATTTAGGCTGTGCTCACGGTATCTTGATCAAATACGATAATTTATGGCTTAATTTTTATGGTTACAAGGCTTCTGTCAACCAAAGGGTGAGAGCGTAGCTGGAAAAGCACACACTTTGTGTCTTATTGGGACTAAGCCTTTTGAAGAAGATAAAGAAAGAGGAGATGCTGTGATAGTGTGCACTTGTGAGAGCTCCCAGACATCACTACAAAACGCTGAACCGCCAAGGCTCACGGTTGACAGATGTCCTGAGACCAATTTTTATAGCCTTTTCGTTGCAGGAACCTCATATTCGACTACTCATCACCGTTCGACGTTGTGAAATGGAGACGTGTGAACAAGCAAATGAAAAGGGTGGTCGACAATCGAGTGAGACGTACGCTGTACCTTGACGTTCTGCGCATGGATATCACACAAATATTGCCAAGAGGAGTACTAGGCGACGGTAAGCATTGCTCAGATATGTATTTCTATTGGGTACTGAAACCAAATTTGAAAAAGAAAGTCGAAAAATGGGACGAGTTTCTTGGTTGTCAGCTGGAGAATGGCTCATAGAATCATAGAAAAAGGATGTCACGAAATTGATGCGCTAGAAGGAAGGTCAAAACATTCGGCATTTACTCCATTGGACTGCGCCACGCATTCTGCCCCTATTCAGAATCGCAGTGACATTACGATTGCGACTTGGCCTATACAATTGCCTTACTTACTTAGTTTTTTTGCTGGGCCAGACAGTGTAAAACTAAGGATATTATCCTCCCGGTGGTACCATTTCACCGAAGGCGGACCAATGGCAAGCTCCGTTGACCTAGGCTGCGGCGTACAATCTGGGATTCGTTCCCCAGACCACGCGCGTGGTAAGCAGCGCCAGTTGCCGCAAGACCACTTCCGGCCCGGTGGTACGCTATATTGGGCAGGATTGGGTGATAGTGGAAATGTTTCTGCTTCGCTAAAGACTCGTCTGCATTTATAATTGACCAGAATTGGGCCCCGCCCTGGATTTTAAGCTCCTGAAGATGAAAAAGCATCCAGTACTTGATTTTTCAGAAGATGTACAAGCTTTTATGAAAGTATTACTTTGCTGATAATCTCGGAAATCTTCATAAACAGCATTACTACACTATATGAAATGAGTAAACATTAAGCGCATTTCGTAGGTGGAAGGAACGCAGAGAAGACTATTAATGCGTCTCACGGGACAAGGGCTAAGCAACTGCGCTCAAGGGGATTATTGCCACCCGCCGCAGTGATCTCGATGCAATACTCATAGGCAAGTATAAGGCAATGCAATATTAGCTGGCAACTTTCCAGTCTTAGTTCTTGTTGAAGAAATTTGTTCATGCGCTGCGCTTCTACAAGGATAGAAAACACCGAGTACTGCAAGGAAAATTCGCGCTTTCCTCATCCGCTGAGATAGGGATGATGAAAACAGGAATATTTCATCGCACTCTCTTCCCGAATTAGGTGGGACTTCGTATGTCTTAAAGAACCTTGTTGCGACGTTTCCCGAATTAGGTGAGATTTTGTATGTCTTGAAGAACCTTGTTGCGACTTACAGCTCATTTTCTTGCTTGTAGATCAACCATCACTAATTTTCGCACACCTGTCTGGGGTAATGAAGGAGAAGGGAGAGGAGTATATGATTTTGAGCTCCCACAGCAATTTATGATCGACGTAGAGCTATTTCACGGTAGCCTGGACATGCATCTGTATGTAGGTTGAGTTGAAGCATCACCGGACTGGAGATTTCCGAGTTCCGGTTTCGGGTTTGCCATTCCGACTTGGCGCTTATGTCCTTGTGGGGAGGGTTGAACTGCAAGTGAGTGGGCCAATTTCTGTGCTTGGGACTGAGCCTAGGGAGGGGAAGGGATCTTTGGGGAGCATGTGAGCAATTTTGTTCTCCCTGGCGTTTCTACCCCGTGCTAGGCTTAGTCCTAGTCTCACCTTCATCGGCCCTGTTTTGAATGTCCCCTCCCCCTGTCCAAGGACGTGTGTGCCTCCGGCTTTTTCCATTTAGCCACGGAAATTTCTCCGAACACATTAGGTGACTCTTCTTTGAGCATTGATAAGATTTTCATTGCATTTCCATCCTTCACAGCTTTAGTATAATAGTCTTTCTCAGTCTCATCATTAGTTTCGCCCTGAATCTCATCGATTTCCTCCCAGATTCATCTGTATGAGTGGACCCAACGATTGCGGACGCATAGCATTGACATCCATTTTCTCTGATCTCTCCGTCAGTAACAGTTCAAATGCCACTGACTCATGGTGATTTGTGCTGCAGTTAGCAAGCGAGGTTCCTGCGTAATAACTTCTGGACGAAGTTCACATGGAGGAATCCGAGCGTGATTTGTATTTAAATATGCTACCCGAGACCATCACGCACTGCACTTACGTGTTCTGCAAAGATCGCTCGAATGACTAATAATAAGAGGTCTGAGAGGGCATGCGTCATGGTCTCTTCAAACTCGTCGCTCGATGGTTGTAACTGTAACTATTGCAGCGGAGCAGAGATATTCCACCATTGCATAGCGCAAAAGTTTCCAGTGGTCCGTGACATCATGATCAATTCAATTTTAACCATGTGCAGCCTAAGATGAATTCCATATCCATAGAGTGGGCTAGATGGAATAGAGACAGTATGCAGGCTTCTTCTAGGCTGATTCAGAGTCGCGATCAGTCGCGTGATGGGGCGGGCGTTCGTGAAGAAATTTGGCGAATTGCAGGGTGCACTTTGGACATTGGTGAAAACCTGATATGGAACAATGTATTTAGAATTTGAGAGGCATCTTCTACATTCACCATCAAGAGAAATGGCGGTAAGATTGGAGAGCAGTCGCAGAATATGTATGGACTCTTTTGGTTTCTGGTGGATCCTGCTCGAGGATCGCGGTTTCCTGGACATAGCTAAGAGTTTAAACGTAGCATGGAGGTCTGATGCCGATTGAGACACAACATGAAATTTTGAGCAGGTATTTCTTTAACGACTACCTACGCATCCAGGCAGCTTTGCGCCATTGCGGTTTTTTCCTTGTATGGCCAGGTTGGTGAATCGAAAAAAAGCTATGCGATTTGTAGGGTTTAATGGATTGATAAACCAAGTGCATTTCACCTTAATTAGACAATGGGCACCGGATGACCAGCGCCGTGACAGCAAAGGTTGGTGCCTTTCTGGAAGGTGGTGGGTCGCTGTGTTGCTTGCACTTGAACATGTGACTCTCTGAATGTTCTCGAGTGGTAGTCCATTTATCACTGCAGTGAGGAATCACCACGTGAAAAAGCGAAATGGCACGAAGCGTTAAACAACATTGTTCGTCGAACAACTGCAAAATAGTACTGTAATCAAAAAATTTAGGTGACTTTTTCCGTCATCGCACATGCAACCTCGTGGCCCATCATGAGCACCGCTCCTTCCTGTTAGCGGCTCATCTGCAGTGGACAGCCAAAGAGGCGGAGAAACTCCGAGCTGCCGTCCAATTTTACGGCAAATTCGCACACACCGTTACGGTGAGTTCGAATCGGTTATCGTTCATTACCATCATCTGATAGTGTTTTGTTTAGCTCGACTCGTCTATAGCAGAACTTTGTGTTGCTGGACAATGCACGACCGACCTCGGGTCGTGGTTTGTATTTCAAGCAGCTGCTGGCGGTGCCGATCCTACTCCCGTGATGGATGGAATTGAGGTCAGTGAGGTTACTGTATATCCTCCTTTTTTCCTTTGACCTTACCTTTCCTTCTTCGAGGTCTTTTGTAGTGCTCATACTGGGCCTACCAAGTCCAGGGCCTGAGCTAAGGAGTCAACTTGTCTTTGCTGTTTGTAATGACATATGCATTACTGATTTTGCAGATGCCCGGTTGGTTACGTAGCGAGGCCAAATTCAATCAAACCACATATCGCTGCCAATCGGTGACCGACCTGCCAGAGTGGAATCCCAGGACGAACCGTATCCCTCTCGGTCCACTATTTCCGAAGGCAAAAGAGGTGAGAGCTTTTCTTGTTCCCTATTCCGTATACCAATCGATGGAAGAATTTTCCTAGGCTTTCAAGAGCAGAACTAAGGAGAGTTAGTGAAAACCAGTGATTAGTGAAGCTTACACTAAATTAACACTATATGAGGTCTTTTCTTCAAAAAAAAGCTTGAGGGGACGTGATAAGGTACTTCCCAAGATGAACAATAGATTTTTGGGGTGCTAAGTGAGTTGGAGGGACCACACACGGATGGTCTCTCAAGTGCGATGGCACTGAGCCTGAGTATATGAAGGAGTGGGTAAGCTGTGAACAGTGTGATTTGTGATTTCGTCGAATCA